ACGACTGAAAACTCATCTCTTTCGACTCCACTTCGAGCGATAGAATTACTAACAAAGCACTTATATACTAATAAAGGGCTGGCTTATCTGAAGCCAGTTGAGTAGCACTTGAAATGTTTGGCTCTATGAAACCTGATGTACTTATATGATTCTGTTTTCTTCAAGTTTGTATCTTCCTGGTCGAACGCACTTATTGTAAGTTGCTTTGGATAAAAGCGTCAGCTAAATGTAATGATCAACATAAATGAGGGAAAAAACTGTACTTCATAAACTATAAACATTAAATAATGATGATGCATACCTGTTATAGATTGTAATGCATTTGGATTGGGCAAATGCTAAAGTACTACAGGAAATATCAGAATGTCTCAAGACTCATTTTTATGTTTTGCCTTTTGTCTGTCACGAACTTGGAAACACAAGGTAAAGGACTCAAATGCACGACCCGGGAGACAGAGGTACAGTATGAGTAAATACTTTATTTTCAAAAATAGGAATACAAAACAAGATCGACGCTCTTACACAAGGTGAAAAAAGGCTCGAAAGAAAATCGCTCACTAAGTTAGGAACAAAATGTACAAAGTAAATCAGGAGCATGAATCCGGCCTGAGATAAGGTAAGTAATTGCTGGTACGCAGACTACTGACATGGAGACAGGACGAACTGACACATAGATAGAATGGGAGGGATGGAACCCGTCTTCAATGGTCACACATGCAGAGAACACAGCACACACAATGTGTTCTCTGCTTTTAACCCATCCTAGTACCAGGAGTCTAGTACTAGGAGCAGTGGGCAGCTTGTGTACGGGGCCAGGGGAGCAATGGGGAGCAATGGGAGTGGGGGGGGAAGGGGGGTGTCCGGTGCCTTGCTCAAGGGCACCACGGCAGGGCAGGAGGTGAACTGGGACCTCTCCAAGTAGCAGTCCACACTCCATATTTAGGTCTGGTCGGGGACTTGAACCGGAGACCCTACGGCTCACAGTCCAAGCCCCTACTGACGGAGCCACTGCCGGACAACACAAAACAAGACAAGGGGAGACTGGGGAATTTAAACGAGAGGTAACTGGTGGAAACAATCAGGGGCGGGGCTGGTGCTGATGAGAGCGGGAGACACACACAAGGGTAGGGAGTGAAGGGACCTGGAATGAAACCTAACAGGCGAGTGTCAAAACAAAACAGGAAGTGGGAGACAATACAAAAATGTACTAAACAAGAAACATGAAACATAACTATAGACTCAACACTTTTGACGGGACACAACATTGTCTAAATGAACTGAACAATCTGTATTGTATTGGTTAACCCTGCAAAATGCCTTGTTCTGAAATCATTATGTAAAGGTAGATATTTTTATAATGAAATGCATGAGAGGCTAACACAGGAAGCTGTTGTTATGAAGGGAAGTCACTCGGGTGCTGTTAGATTAGACAGCATAGCAGTGTCAGACAACAAGGAACGAGTTTTAACATGATCATAAAAGGAGAATGTAAGTGAAGAGTCTGCTTTCAGACACAGTGCAGGCCACACATATAGTTTGTATATTGATTATTTCTGGTAACATAATCCTGTATTTCTGTGCAGTCACAGTTTTGAAGCTCTATACTTTCAAGTCATGACCACAAAAATTAGATGTTTAGAATTGGATAAGGCCCTGTGAAGTGAAACCTTTTTTAAATTACTTTCTTAAGGCTGGAATATCTATGGTTTTCCACACAGGGAGAGCAAAGGCCCCAAAACATATATTAGCTACTGCTAAAGCTGGGTTGCCAGGAGCAGAAGGTAGTCACTAAAATAAGCAACTTACCTTTCTATTCAACTAAAAACTGGTTTTCCGCTTTACGATTGAGGCTGCTGGACAGCGAGAGGACGCTGATGTATCTTAGAAAACATATCAAGCTGGAAACACACGCTGTTCAATCGTTTCTTTATGGACACGATACAATAACATACTGGGAAGACTTGTGCATCCAATATAAATGCATATACTGTAACATGGGCAATGCGGCTCCAAACAATGTGTACGTATTAAACAATGACCAACTCATTTTCACATGGAAAAGCTAGAAAGATGCTTCATCGGGTTCTGAGAAGACTTTAAAAGCCATTCACTATTTTTAATTAAATTACAATGTTTGTTATCTTTCACTGTTTGCACAGTACAAACTCTACATTACATTTCATTGATATGACACTTAAAGGTGGGGTAGGTAAGTTTGAGAAACCGGCTCGAGATACACTTCTTATATTCCATGGAATGCTCTTAACATCCCGATATCAATGAATATCTGAAGAGCTTTGACAACAAATCCATACAAAAATGTCATCTGTGGAAGCCGCGGTACTTTAAAAAGCACGACCAATCATTTTAGCCCTCATTGGTCATGTGTGCGTTCGTGTGTGTTGGAGGAGGGGCTCTGTAAGGAAGTGGCAGCTTTTTTCCGGCTGTGTATTTTCAAATTCGAGCGCACTCGAGCTGGTTTCTCCAAAATTAAATTAAATAAAAGTAAAGCGACTTAAATTAAGTTTAATTCAAGTTTATTCAAGGTGCTTTACAAAAATGAAAGACATTCAGATAAAGGCATTTAAAATCAGTCATTAAAAAGCAAAGATAATAAAAGAAACATTAAAAGAAAACAAATACATGAATAAAAAGTTACAGTGCAGTTTAAGATATGAATAGTTCCCACAGAAGTTCCATTTTACTGATGCCCTTCTTTAAGGTTTCTCCGAACATGATCTGTGTACGCTTGTATGGCTCATACGTCCCGAGCAGCATACACAGAGAAAACCAGCCAGGGCAAAGTCCCCAGACTCTGATTCCCTGGGGTTACTAGCCCCAAATGTTCATCAACCAAAAACGAAACACAACCGCTCAGTTTCAATTAAAAGCAGCCTGCTTTTAATTGAAACTGAGCGGTTGTGTTTCGTTTTTGGTTGATGAACATTTGGGGCTAGTAACCCCAGGGAATCAGAGTCTGGGGACTTTGCCCTGNCCTATCCCTACTTAGGGGCAGGAAATAATCATATATTCACGATAACATCATTAAGATTAAGAGACCTTCCCTCAGTTTCCTCCTACTCAAAGTCAGACCTTCTTCCTAAACATCGAAAAAGACCGACAGGACTAAAGTTACCCCCTCGAGTAAAGGAGGTAAAAACCTCCCGGTCCTAATCGTTTGGGTGCACAAAAAACGCACGTACCCTTGAACCAGGTGGGAGCGTCACAAAAGCCCACGGTCGCTTCGACCAAACCGACTACGTCTACGCACTCACCGTGCACGGACCCCGCACATGCCCAAATTGTACAGGACCTACCATCTTCCCCGGTCTAGGTTAAGTGTCGTAACAGCGTTCATGGGTCCACGAGAACTCACCTAAGATCGTCAATGACCTTCGGTCACTTCCCTCCGCCTCCCTCGGCCTTCACCGCACCCTTGTAAAATCCTTCCAAAGAGATTAACTTCTTACACTAATAATGTGAGAGATCAAGTTTGGACCTCGAGTGTCCTCCCGAGAAGTCTTAACTAACACCGGTAGAAGTAGGCACACCAGTTGAGCCACACGGGCGACTGTCACAAGAACACTTAAAAGAGGCCCCGGCCTTCCGAAGGCTTATTTGGCAGTCACAAAAGGTAGTTTCGAGGTCGGGAGAGGAGCACCAGACAAAAGGGTTAACGAACAGTCTCAAAGGGGGAGTTATACGAAGAACTATAGAAGAGGCCGTCTTGTAACAGGACTAAGAAAATAGTCCCTTGGCTACGGTACGATGTAAATATTAATTTTCGCAAGTATCCGACATCCGATACTTATTATTTTTCCAGATGTCTAGATAGTATGTTAATAGAATATGATAATTATTTTATGTCTGTTTATAAGAGCACGCCGAGAGCGCCAGTCCTCGAGTCTGCAATCTTGCGTCTAAAAATACCCTCAAACGGACCCCGATCCTTCACAAAGAAGAAAAAACCTTACGACCCAAATAACTTCGATGTGACGTGTCCCTAGCGATGACAGTCGCGTAAATTTGAGTGTAGTCGGCCCGCAATTACTCCAAGACTTTAGAAGACATCTGAGCTCAAGGAAATCTTAATTTTTCGATTTTCATACCCCGAGCCCCTGGCTAATAACTAAACTAACCCTTTCCTAAAGTTAATGCATAAGTAAACAAACATGGAGGTTTGCTCTGGGTCTTCAAGATTAGAGACCAGATATCAACAGCCCACCAAATTATTACATATCCCAAGACTCACCAATTATTACTCCATATCAAAGGACAAACACAATTATAATCAATCAAAGACTAACGAATTACCTCCATATCAAAGACTAACAATATACAATTACCTATATATGACTCCAATAATCATTCGCGATAGTTCCTACGCATTCAAAAGACTACGAATAATTATTACTGCCATATCAAAGACTAACAATTCCTATCCCCTGTGTGCACTTGAAATGTTTGGGTCTATGAAACCTGATGTACTTATATGATTCTGTTTTCTTCAAGGTTGTATCTTCCTGGTCGAACGCACTTATTGTAAGTCTCTTTGGATAAAAGCCTCAGCTAAATGTAATGTAATGTAATGTAATAGACTAAACAGCTGAATCACATTTGTTGTCTCTTATGGCTCGAGGTCATCTACACCCCGAGAAGGATGTGTTCCAGGTGTCCCACAACAATAACTATCTCTGTCCGAGAGCTGCCCGGTCACAAACTGGTAACAACAACAACTTGCTAGGGCAGCCCCTCCTTAAGGGAGGTAGCAGCTGATCAATGGTCTTCTGCGTCAGAGGGTGAAAGGTAAACATGTAGGGTGAAATCATTCCCTGACAGAAATTAAATTCCATATAAAATGATCAGTGAATGAGGCTTAAGGCTGTGACTTCACTTCCTAAAAATTACAACAACAAAAAATAGATAATATATTGTAATTGTATTTCAAAGGAGTGTTTTCTAGCTGTTATTTGGTTGGGGTGTTTTCGTTATATATTTTGACTGGTTGTAATATATTTATAACAAATATTTTTAAATGTCTTTGATATGCCCCCTGTCTTTAAAACCTTCAAATGAAACAGTTTTATTTTTACTTTTACTGATTAATCCCCTTTTGTGATTGTTTTTGACCTTTAATAAAATCAAAAATGCACCCTTTATTTATTTAGGAAGAGCTCAGTGACAGTGTTTGCACCGAAAAATAAATTAAAAAAACTGTAATGATATAAAAAACAACACATTAGGAATATTAAAAACTGGATTAAAGGCAGAGATTTAAAACAATAAACTCAGACGGATAATTTCCTCGCTATAGGTTTAAATCTGTCCATCATCGAGTCTGCTGTCATTTATACTTTATTCAGACTTACAGACTAAAGTTTATACAATGACTGAAATATAACTTATGACATTTAGTGAAAATCTGCATTAATAATGAAATAACTTCATCTGCTGTAGAATGTAAATGTGACATTTTAAAAATACAAATGATGAATGTCACATTGGTATAAATATTTTTTCATTTGGTCTTTAAATCAGTGTGAAGGGTTTATTTAATTATATCTTATCATAATTAGTTTGACCTTGAGGATCTTAAGCAGGCAAAAATATTCTTTAAATAATAAACATATTAAAACCTGACTAAGTTCAGAGGTTTTGGAGGTTCTCAAATAATATGACTAAGGTTTATATTCAAAATGAATACCGTTAAGTGTGTGTGTGTGTGTGTGTGTGTGTGTGTGTGTGTGTGTGTGTGTGTGTGTGTGTGTGTGTGTGTGTGTGTGTGTTCTCCT